ACTTCCTCAATGTTGAGCCATCCTTGCATTCCTGGGATAAACTCTTCTGTTATTACATTTACTAATGGAGAATTTTTTTAAAAACCTATATTCAAAAGAGGAATTTTCCTATAATACATGTTTATGTATACTATCTTATTTTGGTTTGGCATGAGGTTATACCAAGCCATGGGTGGGTGAGTGGGATAGAGATGGTCACCTGTTCCTTAGAAGTTTAATAATAGGCAGCTCTAGCACCTTTCAGTAAGAGGACTTCATTTTCCTGAATCATTATTGGAACCATGTTTTTCTGTTTCTTCTTAGGCCTCTTTTAGTAATTGTAATTTTCTTTTTTTGCAGTTTTTGGCCAGGGCTGGTTTTGAACTCGCCACCTCCAGCATATGGGGCTGGCGCCCTACTCTTTTGAGCCACCAAGTACTATAATTGTAATTTTCATCTAACTTTTCAAATGTATTGTTACAAGTGTTTGTAGTATTCTTTTATGATTTTAAAAATTCTTTAATATGAATGTAATTATTTCTCCCTTTGAACATCGATACTTATGTTTCTCTCTCTTTTTTTATTATTCTTACCAGAGGTTAATTTTATTATCTTTTTAAAGAACTAGGTTTTCAGTTTATTATCTTAATTTTTTTTCTGTCTCATCCATTTTTGCTTTTATTTTTGTCCTTTCTTTCTACTTTTTGAGTTTGCTCATGGTAGTTTGCACTCTGTTTTCTGGTTTTTTAATAAGTGCACCTAAGTCTATAAATTCTCTGTAAGATCTTGTAGGCTGCACCCTTAGGTTCTGATGAGCAGAACTCCCATTTTTCCCCTTTATGAATTTCATTATAATCTTCGTGTTAGCCTTTGGATGATTCAGAGATGTTCTTTTCAGTTTTCAAGCATTCTTTGTTATTGCCCTCTCATTGTATTGCATTTTTTTGGCACGTGGTTGGCATCAAACTGGTTCTTGAAAGTGATTGAAATGTCCTGTGTGGCCCCGTCTCACCTGGGGCCATCCCAGTCCCCACCCTCCTGCCTTGCCAGCGGCAGCTATCAAGCTTGTCTGACTTGGCCACCCCCCGAAGCCTTTTCTGCTGCAGGGGTGCTGTGTCCACTTCTGCCTGGGGCAGCCCTCCCTCCTGGGGCTGCCACAGCAAAGTACCACAAACCATGGGGCTTAAAGTGGCAGAAATTTGTCCTCTCATGGTTCTCAAGGCCTGAAGTCTGAGATCAAGCCCATGCTCCCTCCGAAGCTTCTGGGGAGGCCCCTTCCTGCTTCTTCCAGCCCTGGTGTCACCAGCACCCTTTGTGTTCCTTAGCTTGTGGGTGCATCACCTGGGGCTCTGCCTCCCTTGCAGCCTGCTCCCTGCATGTGCCCACATCTCTGCTCCTCTTCTTCTTTTTCTTAATTTAGAGACAGAGTCTTACTTTGTTACCCTTGGTAGAGTGCCGTGGCATCAGTTCACAGCAACCTCCAGCTCTTGGGCTTAGGCAATTCTCTTGCCTCAGCCTCCTGATTAGCTGGGACTACAATCGCCTACCACAATGCTCGGCTATTTTTTGTTGCAGTTTGATCAGGGCCAGGTTCAAACCCGCCACCCTCAGTATATGGGGCCAGCACCCTACTGACTGAGCCACAGGCACTGCCCTCTGCTCCTCTTCTTATGGGGATTATAAATTATATGGGGTTACGGCCAACCCTAGGGCCTCATCTTAACCAGTACACTGCAAGGGTACTTTTATCAAATGAGGTCACATTCTCAGGTTCTGTAAAGGATGAGGCTTTGGAGGACACTGTTCACCTCACACCAGACCTGTCTTAGGTGACCGCCCAGCCCCTCACCCTAGAAGCATCCTGATGCTCCCACACCAGGGCATAGACTTTATAGGGCCCCACCCAGGGTCAGTGAGTGGAGGCTAGAGGGCCAGAAAGTGAGTTGCAAGGGAGGGGTAAAAGCTGGGGCTGGGAAAACATAGCACAGTGGGGCAGGGGGTGCACCCTGCCCTGGGGCTGGAGGCCAAGCAGGGGCCCAGGAGTGGTGGAGTAGCAGCAGGGGGACTGGGGAGCCCCAGCCTAACCAGCAGGGTGAGGCCACTAAGGTCTTGTGCTGGGAGGGGTCATCCTTGCTGAGGGATTGTACCAGCTAGGTGGGGGTGAGTGGACCTTAGCTGAGGGGGTGGGGGTGGGGGCTGGAGGAGGTAGGACTCTTCAGGTGACCCCATTTGGAGGCAGCAAGGGGGTGCTGCACTGGGCCAGGGGCTGGGGCAGGCACAATGGGCCTGGACAGTGTGGTGGATGTGGAGGCTGCACTGATCACAGGGAAGTATAGGTGCGTTTCTTCTCCTGCTGTTCTGGGACTTGCTGTTTGAAGTAGGGCCTGATGGTGTGAAGGGAGATGTCCTGGCCAACTGGGAAGTATTTGGGACTCTCCTGCTGCCCACAGTTAGAGCCCTGTACTTGGGCTGTCTGAGTGTCCTGCTACCCCTCGGCTGGTCCAAGCCTAGTGACACGTTGTCTGTAGCCCCTGGGAGTTTGGCCTGACCCCACGCCACCCCTTGCCAGGTCACCAGGGCAGGGGCAGCGCTCTGTGCCCAGGGCCTTTGGGGACAGATGAATGTAGTCTCAAGCTATTGCCTGTCCCCTGCTCTGTAGAGGAGACAGCCATGTTAACACCTCCCCATCTGCAGTGCAGCTGCACCTCTGCCCCCAAGGAAGACCCTTCTCCTGCCAAGTCACCCCATGGCCACCTGAAACCCTGGCCTCACCCCTAGAAGGTCTCCAAGGGACCCACCCCCAAGTCAGGAAAGGTCAGGCAGAACACCACACCATCCCTACGTGTGCTGGCTGCTCGTACTGGCCAGCCCCTTGGAGCTCTGTCCCCACCCTCCCAATGGCAGGAAGTGGGCTGCAGGCAGCGGGCTGAGCCAACCCTTCTGCCTCCAGGAACCCCATGGGCCGCACAGGGCTTCGTGGACGTGGGAGCCTCAGATGCTTTGGACCCAACCATGCGCTGCACCCCCTGGTTACCCGGTGAGTTCTACACCCTGCCAGGCATGAACAGCTCAGCACAGGGCCAGGCACAGGCTATATGTGGGCTCCTGGGCCACTCCCCTTTGCTGGCACACTGGGAGGACAGCTGTTATGCTTGGTGCTTGGCACCTGTCTGGGTGTAGGGGAAGTCTGGGGACAGGCATGAACATACCCGAAATGGGGTAAGGAGGGCACCCCTAGAATGCCTGACCTGTGCCCCCCTCCAGAGCAGCTTGTTCCATCTGGGTACCCTCCAGAAAATGAAAATGAAAATAATCACACTGAGCACTAACACTAGAGCTGTGGCCTGTAACCTCCAGCAGCCACGTCCACCTGTGCCCGGTCAGGCCACCTTCTGGCAGGTGCAGGCTCAGAAGGCTCTGGCACCCTTGCCCACTGGGCTCACTGCATTTTCAGAGCTGCAGAATTGGAGATCTGGGTCCAAGGCACACGCTTCCTTACAGCTTTTTTGGGGGAGGGGAGGACAGAGCCTCAAGCTGTCACCCTGGGTAGAGTGCAATGGCATCACAACTCAGAGCAACCTCCAATTCCTAGGCTTAAGTGATTCTCTTGCCTCAACCACCCGAGTAGCTGGGACCACAGGCGCATGCTACAACACCCAGCTATTTTTTTGGTTTTAGTTGTCATTGTTGTTTGGCAGGATTCAAACCTGCCAGTGCTGGTGTATGTGGCTGGTGCCTTAGCCACTTGAGCTATAGGCTCCAAGCCTTCCTTACAGCTTTTGGTAGAAAAGAGCTTCCTAAGAGGCAGGGGCTCTGCTCATCCTGCCTGCAGTGCATGGAAGTGGGAAGGACAGTCCCCAAGGGGTCATTGTCTCAGTTCTTCCCTTGAGATTAGGTTTGGAAAGGAGCCAGGCTGAGGTGGCTGTGCCCCCGGCCACCAGTGCCGGGCAGAGGGGCTGTGAGCCGCTTCCTTCCCCAGGTGGAGGCGGAATCAGGATGGCGCCATCTGCAGGAAAAGCATAAAGAAGATGCTGGAAGTGCTGGTGGTGAAGTTCCCACTCTCTGAGCACTGGGCTCTGCCGGGGGTGAGCGCTGCCCAGCAGAACTTTACCTGTCTGCCAGCCTGTCCATTTGGGCACTCACCTGTTTGTCCATCCCCCTGCAGACTGATCATCCCTGGACAGGGATGGTTGTAGATGCCACTTGGCTATGCATGATAGTTAATGCTGGTGTTTTGCTGTTTAGAAGTTCTCTCTCCTGTTTCCTCATTTTGTGAAAACCAAGGTTTAGACCTCTTTGGTAGAGAAGCACTAATCGAGTGCGCACTGTGTCCCAGGCGCAGGCCCAGGGCTAGTGCTGCCTTGGAGCATGTCTGGGGTTCTCTCGGGGAGCTCAGGGTGTAGGTAGCAGAGATGTCTTCACAGATGTCCCAGACACAAACCTGCCCCTCACTGTCTGGGCCCTGAGCTGAGTCCCGGGAGGGGTGGACGTGTACACAGGCCCCTCGGCCCAGGGTCAGCATTGTCACAAGGAGCTGGGCCTGCACAGGCTTCCCAGGAAACTGGCGAATGTCTCAGTGGCCTTGGAATGACTCGCAGGACTAGAGAGGTGGGAGCCGGGAGGCAGTGCAGCAGGTGCAGGGTCCATGTTCATGACGCGGTGGCAAGAGCCCAGCGTGTGTCAGCATAGGCGGGAACCAGGGCCCGAGAGTGATGGGAGCACAAATGACAGGATGCAGCCAGGCTGCTGGTTGCCAGGCTGAGAGGGCAGTGAACAGGTGCCTGTCACTCATGGAGCGGCCAGAGCAGGCCGTGCCTTTGGCCCCTGTGCCTGCTCAGGCTGTGTCGGGTCTTGCTGACGTGAATAGTGGGTTCTGGGCAGTGTCACTCCAGCCCTGAGACAGGCAGCTCTGGCTGCCAGACATGTGCTTGCCTTTGTCTGGGGCCTGGCTGGCTGCCCACCCTGGGCATGTAGCCAGTGGAGATGGGCTCCAGGAGGCCTGTGGTCTGGCATGGGTGCCTTGCTGACCTGCCTTCACCTCCCTCTGCTCAGGGATCCCAGGACCCAGGGGAGACGCTGCCCCGGAAGCTGAAGCAGATCCTCCGACAGGAGTCCTGGCCGTCTTTTGAGAACTTGCTAAAGCACGGCACAGAGGTAGGGTGGTCACTCTGCTGTGCTCCTACTGTGTGTCCCCGGGGCCACAGGACGAGCACAATGTGATGCTAGGGACCAGCCCCAACCCTGCCAGTGACAGCAGTCCCACTCAGCCCACCAGTGACAGAGTCCCACTCGGCCCCATGGGGTGACAGCAGTCCCATTCAGCCCACCAGTGACAGAGTCCCACTCAGCCCACCAGTGACAGAGTCCCACTCGGCCCACCAGTGACAGAGTCCCACTCGGCCCATCAGTGACAGCAGTCCCACTCAGCCCACCAGTGACAGAGTCCCACTCAGCCTCACGGGGTGACAGCAGTCCCACTCAGCCCACCAGTGACAGCAGTCCCACTCAGCCTCACGGGGTGACAGCAGTCCCACTCAGCCCACCAGTGACAGAGTCCCACTCGGCCCCATGGGGTAACAGCAGTCCCACTCAGCCCATCAGTGACAGCAGTCCCACTCAGCCCTCCAGTGACAGAGTCCCACTTGGCCCCGCCAGTGACAGCACTCCCACTTGGCCCCGCCAGTGACAGAGTCCCATTCGGCCCCACCAGTGACAGAGTCCCACTTGGCCCCACCAGTGACAGAGTCCCACTTGGCCCCGCCAGTGACATGGCACGGAGGTAGGGTGGTCTTTCTGCTGTGCTGTCTGGCTCTTTCTCTAGGGAAGCACGGTTCCCGGCCGCTCCGCACCAGACATGGGCACGCCCTCCATACAGGGACCTTGACTTGCTGCTTCTCTCAGCCTGTGACGGTCCCATTTAGGCTTACAAAGGAACCTCAGTCTTTTTGAGGCCCCCACCTTGTGGACTGCGGGCCCCGGGTTACTGAGCCACCCTGAGTGGCCTGAGGCTGTTACGGGGCCTGCTGTACACCTCAGGTGGGAAAAAGGGCAGCCCCTGACAGCTTTGCCACAGCCCTGCAGCCCTCAGCCTTACCCTGCACAGGCCCTCAGGAACTGTGTGTCTCTCCTTTTATTATCTAAAGGATTTGGGTTTTTCCTGAGGTAAATTCACATAACATAAAATTTACCATTTCAAAGTGAGTGGTTCTGTGGCCTTTAGCCCGTGTGGTGCAGCCACCAGCCCCATCAAGTTCTGAAGTCTTCCATCACCCCACTGGTCTGCCTCCTGTCTCTGTGGATTTTGTTCTGGACATCTGTTATAAATGGACTCCTGCAGTGGGTGGCCTTTGTGTCAGAGGCTCTCTGTCATCCCCTGTAAATACTTCCAAGTTCTGTGGGGACCAAGCACAATCACATTGGGTCCAGTGTCCAAGGGCCTTGATGCCAGGTCAAGGGTGGGCGTGGGCCACAAGGGGGTTGCAGGGCTGGGGCCCAGAAGATGTGTGGATCAAGAAGGAAGCACACTGAGCAGCCCAGGTTGGCAGGATAGGAGCCAGGCCAGGTTGTGCACAGCAGAAGCCATGTTCAGAGCTAGGACAGGGAAGGGGCCGGGGGTGGTGTCCGTCTGATGGCAAGTGGGGATTCTTGGGGCCCCTTTCCCAGAAGAAAGCCCCTGGGGTGGGCTCAGAGATCCGTCCACCAGCCCGGCTCACCCTGCCCTGCCCTCCCAGGTGTACAAAGGGTACATGGACGACCCCCGGAACACAGACAATGCCTGGATCGAGACAGTGGCTGTGAGCATCCACTTCCAGGACCAGAACGATGTGGAGCTAAAGAGACTGAAGTCGGTATGGGGCCAGGCTCCGAGGAGTGAGGGAGACACAGGGATGCTCTGGACAGGCCCAGGCTCCCAGGGGTAGAGAGAACAGAGGCTGCAGGGGCCAGAGACTTGCCTAGAGGGTACCAGGTGCCCACCTGGGTGGGGCCAGAGACCTACAGCAGATGGCTAGAGCACAGAGGGCTGAACAGGTGACCATGAGGGGCCTGTGCAGCCATGGGACCCAGGGCCACTCGGGAGGCCATGAGAATGATGTCTGCAGTGAGACTGGCATGCCTTCCTTGCTCCTGGCTCAACCCTTATAAGGGCTGTCCATCCCCTGTGCTTAGATTGAGCTTGCGTGTTCCTAAGCCAGACCTTTGTCCTTCCAGAGCCTACTCACCAGCAACCCAGAGGTGTCCATCCGATGGCAGGGGGTGGACAAGCGCATCCCCCTGTACTCGAACCACAAGGCCCTCCTCCAGAAGGCGGCCGCTCTGTTCGGGGCTCACTATTGACTGTGACCAGCGGCTCTGGCCTATCGGCAGCCCTCAGAGACTTCCTCAGCCCTGAGCCCACATGGGACTTGGGCTGACACCAGGCGCCAGCATGAGTGGCTCAGGCTCAGGTGAATCTGCTGCCCCTGCGGCTTCAGTCGGCCACCAGATGGGCTCTTAAACTGGACAGTGTCGATATGTCCCAAGAGCAGAGCTCATGGTATACATCCTGCACCTAGCACAACCTCACCTGGCCTCTGCCTGGCTGGCGCCCCACCCAAGGGGCCAGCTCTCTCTCCACCACTTTCCCCAGGAGCCGTCCAGACAGGGGATGTGTGAAAACCCATGACATCAAATCCTCTGTCCAGACTGGCCTGGCTGCCCCTTCTCTGCTGTCCATAAATAAAGTTACTGACTCTGTGTCTGGGCCATGGAGAGCTCTGCCTGACCCCTGGGCTTCCCAAGACCCCTGGGCATCTCCCATGGGTGCCTGTGGTAGGTGCCTCCCACGGGCAGCCTGCAGGCCCCTCAGGGCAAACGCAGGTTTCTGCTCTGACCCAGTGCTCCCTCTTCCTTACCCTAAGCCCAGGACCCAGTATCACCCTGAGCCCTCCAGGCTGGGACTCGGGTACCCATGCAGCTTCCTGCTCCCTTGCACAGTAGAGCTGACACACACCCCTGCTCCCCTGGCAGAGCCCAGGGACTGCCAGGTCACTGAGTCAAGGCCATGGATGTCCACCCTCCCCTGGGCAGCCTTTGTGCCTGAACCAAAGTTGCTGGTCATCTTCCTGTCCCCAGATACCCTTTGCCCCACAGTGCCCCCAGCTGAGCCCTCCCTCCCTGCTCAGAAGCTCCTTACACCGGCTCCTGTCAAGAGCTGCACTGGGAACCTGATGTGGGGGCTCTGCGGCTGCAGGCCTGGAGGGACTGGATGCTGCCCCGTCATCAGCACCTCAGTCCCAGGGGGCTCCAAAGCAACTGGTTTGAAACCTCCGATGCAGCCACTGGACAGGGCGTGTGTCCTGCCCTCCATCCACATCCTCTCTTACATGTGCTCCTGGCTACTCGTGTCCTTCCACATGCTGGCAGGGAAGTCCTGCTCATTTGGCCGTGACTCACCCAGGCCCCTGCCTGGTGCAGTGTTGTGCCCAGGGCAGGTGTCATCCCTGCATCTGCAGGACCCAGAGACACCTGTTGTAAAGTCAGCACCCAGGGAAGGGTGGAAACTGAGCCAGGGGTCAGACCAGAGCAGCTGTCAGGGGGACATCCACTGCTCCCTTAAAATATGCATCACATGAACATCCCCATCCTAACCACAGTACATGCACGGCTGCCCACACGGCTGCCCACACCGCTCTGCTCACTCCTGCAGGAGGAGCTTGTTCTCGCCCCAAGCCAGCTGAACACACAGCCAAGCAACTGAACTGTGGGCACCTGGGACCATCAGATACTCGAGGAAAACTGCTAACTACCAAAAGGAGGCATTGACGTGTCAAGGAAGCCTACGGAACCTCTAGGAAAGGGTGACACATCTTCGTACGTGCTGTAGAAGAGAAAGCCATCAAAAACTAACCAGAAAACATGTAAAAAATGCATACGTCCAAGAACAGTTAAAAGGGTGGGTGAATAACTGAGTGTGGGGAGTCAGGCGGGCCTGGGAGCGCGACCGGGTCTCCCCTCGGACGTCAGCTTCCGCATTCCGTCTCTTATATCAGAAAAGACCCAAGATTTTTCTTTGTACAAAGCAGAAAAAGATAAAGAGGGGGGAACTATGAAAGAAAATTGAGACTAAGGACAAATCCAGATGTTCCAACATCTGTCTACTAAGAATTTCAGAGAAGAACAGGATTGGCGGGAAGGAAATAAAGAAGGGCAGACGGTCTCCCCAGGGCCCGAGCTGCCGCGGTGCAGACTCTCAACCCATGAGACATGAGAGGACTGCAGAAGGAGCAAATCTGGCCTGAGGTAATGCAATGAAAAAATATCCCACATATATCTTCATAAAATTTTAGAACAATGAGAAAAAAGAAAACCTTAAAAATCAACATGATTTAAAAACACCAAAACCCCCAAAACTGGCTCCAGGCTTTCCCCAAAATTAGAAGAGAGAAGAGAATGTCTTCAGAGTCCTGGTGACTCAATTTTGCTCTAGCACAGTGGTTCTCAACCTTCCTAAAGCTGCGACCCGTTAATACAGTTCCTATGGGTCGTGACCCACAGGTTGAGAGCCGCTGCTCTAGCGTCAGAGATGCAGCCAAACTGGCATCTAAGTGGCAGTACCAAATAAAGACATTGCACTTAACAGAACTGTAAGAATGCAGAGAACGTGCTGCCTGCATGCCCTTCCCAAAAGGATTTCTCAAAGATGAATTACAGAAAAACAAAAGCAAACACTGTCTTCAGCGTCTCAGGCTGCTTTAATGCAGAAATGCATTTTCTTGCAGCTTCTGAAGCCAGAAGGCAACACTCAGGTGCCATCACGTCAGGTTTCTGGGGAGGCCTCTCCGCGGCTTGCCCACAGTTGTCTTCCCATTGTGTCCTCAGGTGGCCCTTCCTTGTGTGCACAGGGGAGACCACGGGCTCTCTCTCTCTGGTGCCTCTCCACAAGTCCTGCTGGGTCAGAGCATCACCCTCTGACCTCATGAACTTTGCTGTCTCCACAAAGGCCCTGATCCCAACACAGACATTTAGTCCTCTCACGCACACAGGCACAGACACACAGACGCACATATACACACACAGACACACACATATTCACACAGACACAGACACACATAAATGC